AGCAGAGGCCAGAGAGCAGCAAGGACTTCTGACAATGGTGTCCTCTAACATTCACATCAGTATTTACAGATGGTCAGAGTGTGTGATAGATCAGTTTTCCTCCCTCCTCCTCTCTATTACCAAAGAATTACTGAATATCAACACAAATGAGGAGAGAAATTAGATTATGTTGGTCAGTTTGATGAACTGAAAGTAAGAATATGAAATCGTTAAGCTTTTCTATAAAATGTGCACTGTGTTGGTGTGTGGACTACTGTGAGGAAAAAGATGGCTCCTACTTTACAAATTTGCTCTCCTGTATTTTGTATTAATAGTTGTATTGATAGACAAGAAAAACTGGTGAGTGAATGTGGATGAGATGAAAAAAAAACACACTATTTCAGGCCCAATTAAGTCATTTATTTTAAAAATCCTTTATACATTAATACACTCTCTTTTTTATCAATAAGTCAATAAGGACATTTGATGTAGCAACTTTTACATCACATAATGGCATAATAACAGTAGGTAGTCACTTTTATCCATATTATTCTGTTATGTTATACATTTACAAATGGAAAGCATAAAATTAGTCACAAGTTCATATTTAAATTGTTTTGTTGTTCAGACTGAAAGAGACATCAATTTATGTAAATAAACAAGTAAGTAAACTTACACAGATCCACAACAATGCAATCTAGTAACTTCCCCACTGACTCACAGGACATTCAGTATACAAATGATTTTAAAGCAAATTTCCCTTAAACTGAAACCCTGTAATTTAAAGCAATATGAGGCTATTTGTTGTGGAACAGCTAGTTAGTCAAAAACAACAATTAACCCTGCACTTTGGAGGAAGTCTCCTCATTACAGAGCGTTTCATCAGAGAGATAGCAGTGTAAAAGTCACAGACACAAACTATTGCTCCATCAAAGGTAATAAATGAGTTTAAGGGGTTGCTGTGATAAAAAACCAAAGCAGACCTCCAGGCCCCCCGTTTTTTCTTTCACATCTTCTGCTCCACGCCACTCTTCAGCTCTGTAACCAGTTCAAACTGCGGGACAATTCCTCCTCTAGTTTCTGTTCAGGTTGTGGTTGAGTTGAAAATCCCTTTTCTCTGTCCACTTTGCTGCTTTGTTGTGAAATTCAGTCTTGATCCGAAGATATTCCATTTGGTTCGGTGCCAGTAAAGCAGGACGAGACGCGTTTATTAAAAGTCAAAGCAGGTTTAAAAAATATACACACATTTTCTTAATCATCTTAATTACTTCTGCAGCGTTTTCACAACTCCATGCTCCCTCTTGTCTCTCGAGCCAGTGCGCGTAAGAAAATAAAAGCCCTCTTGGGATGGAGATGATCGCCGCTCACTTGCGCGCAGGAATCATCGCGATATGTTCTGCCAACGCAGACGTGCACTCCAACTTTCTTTCTTTCTTCTGGAGGCTGATTGCAGAATTGTGTTGGTGCAGTGGGGATGGATGTTTTCTGCCCGCGCCCTATGAATGAATACATGAAGCAGCTCTCTTTTATTCTACTTCAAACACTTTGAATGAAAGGCTGGCTCTCTCCCGGTGGTCCATACAAATCTCCACTGCTACAAGCTCTCTGTCCATCATCTTAGACAATAATATAGATTTAAAAAATATATAAAAAAATGCAAGGTGTTTTAATTCAAATGCCGGTTGTCTCTAGGTAGGATGCCCTGAGTAGAGATGGCTGTTAGCATCTCTTGTTGTCATTAACAGTTAGCCTACAGTAGGGCTACTTCCCCATATGTAAATATTACCCTCCACTGAGCAGGCGTGGTCTTCTCTTCTTTTATCCAATCAGGAACACAAAATGAGCTCCCAGCTGCACTGTCTGCTCCAACAAAGCTCCTCTTGGTTGACTTACTTATTCATGGCTATGATTTACTTGTTATTAATGCAAATCTAAATTTAAGCCCAACCTAAAGCATAATGTCTTATTCTGTTTACATGCAAAAAGGTTGAAACTCCTTAAAAGCAACAAAATGCTAAAAGTAAACTAAATTGTTTTTATAGTTTTCTAACCAGATCCCATTTTATAAAGTATATTTTTTGCAGAGCAGCTTGAACCAAAGGAACTATGCTGCTGCTATTTCCAATTGGGGTGAAACTTCCTGTTTGCATGCCAGATTGTTGAATTTGATCTGAGTTACACCCATGTCCAATTACAGAGCCAGGGGCTTGATGGCAAGGATAAAATCTGAAACTCCATTTGCCCCATTTGGTGCTGCATTTTAACTTTGATTCACCTTTTTTTCATGTCATAGTTTGGTGCATTTGCCCAAGATAGCTTTTGTTTCAGGTTTAAGAGTCTACATTGAAAAAAATTTATCCAATTTCACAAATGCTTTGTTTTAATCCTTTAAATATTCTTATACCAGAAAGATGTTTAATTCTAAATGAAATAATTCAACTTGTTTCCAATGCACTTTCACTAAATCAGTTCATTTTTATGCAAAATTAAGCAGATCACAGAAAATAATGTTTGATTACATGAAATTATTGTATTAATTTTCAGCTTGTTTTAGGGGGAAAGGCCTGTTACATTAAAATTTTCCAAATGTCATTTTATGAAAACTCTTTCAGGGCTCAATAAATGACATGTGCGTGCAGAAAGCTGCAGTGTGGGAGATGAAAGAAGGAGCTCACCCAGGGTTAAAATGGCCGCCATCCTCTGAATACTGAGGTGATTTGTAGCCTATTGTAGTAGCTCACAGCCAAAATCTATGAATGAAATAGGATGAAATCAACTTAAAAGCTACGTTATTCAAGGATTTAGGATAATACTTGCGTGCTGAGTCACATTCCGTTAATTGGCTGAAACTTTTTGGGACCTCCGTGTCTGTGGAACCTGCACGGATTTAAAGTCACTGATGATTTCTGCGACAAAAGCTTCATTTTGCCCTGATGCGCTCCTAAATCTGAGGATGTATAATCTTAGAAAATGTGAACACAGTATGATTTTTTTTTAAACTCTCCCCCACCATCAAAGATTGGGCTGCTCAGTTTGAAATGTGTTACTTGGATTTGGAATGCAAATGCTTTGTTCATGAGGAGGAGGGATCAGCGAGGAGTCTGAAAGCGACGAGTTTTTGATTAATGAGCTTTGAAATGGCTCTCCAGGAGCAATAAAGGATGAACTGCTCTCTCTCTCTCTCT